AGTGTCTGGCCCAAAATCAGCCAGTGAGCTTCCACCACTAAGGGTGGACTAGAACCTTGCTTTTCCTGTTCCTAGTCTTAACCTTAACCACTATACCACATTGGCTGTAAAAACCACCACCTTCCTCTTCCATTTCCTCCTCCCTGCAACAACAACACTGTGAGGTAGGTTGAACTGTCTGGCCCAAAATCAGCCAGTGAGCTTCCACCACTAAGGGTGGACTAGAACCTTGCTTTTCCTGTTCCTAGTCTTAACCTTAACCACTATACCACATTGGCTGTAAAAACCACCACCACCACCACCTTCATGTATGGATTTCATCACACATTTTTCCTCTGATTTAGCTATGAGGCACACGAATATGACAAATATAACTTGAAAAAATGCATGAGATATATTAATTCAAAAGCAGATCCTCATTTCTTAAAGAATCAACAAAATACAAATAGCAGTGGAACACATCTTAACTGTTCCTCATCAGAAGCATACCATAGTCAACAACTCAAACTCAGAGACCCAATGTGGGGTAGTGCTGGTTTAGGAGTAGTAATACCTAGGTTTTAGTCTATGTTCAGCCACAGAAGCTCATTGGGTGATTTTGGAAAAGCCATTTTTTCTCAGCCCAACCTACCTTGCAGAATTGTTCTTGTGGAGAAAAAAGGAAGAGAAAGTGTTGTGCACATTGCCTTGAACTGTTTTATGTATCGAATACATAAATAAACATGTACAGTAATGTGGCATCACAATGTGCACTCAGCGGTTATAAGCTCTTTTGAAGAGGGAACTTGGCATGATCTTCTAACTGTATCAAACATTCAGTGGGCCCCAAATTGTTCAGACTAGGTTTTCACAACCTACTGTTCTATTCTAACTTTCAGATTAATGGGTAACTGTATCAGCAGTAAAAGAAGAAAAGCTCTTTGGAAAATAACTAGACATGGAGGACTTCTGTAGAAGCTGTTGGATCTGCAGGTTCAGGCAGTACTGGTGGAGTCCAATCCTTTTTATAGAGGAATACATATGCCTCCTCTAGGATAAAATGCTAATAATTTGGCCTCTAAGCAGCACTTCACCATTGGGACTGAACTTCACTTTAGCCTTGTTGTTGTCTCCTTTATGATCTTAATTGTGAGGAGTCCAGAATCAGAGGATTAATCAATTTCTGGCATATTCATTTCCTAATTTTGTTGCTACCCTAAGTGGAGCAATATCCAGAGAAATTGGATCCCATCCCAGAATTTCCAGTCAGCATGCCCAAGCAGATGAGTAATCAATACAGGGTAGAAGAGTTTAAATGTGTTAGCTAGCAGCCTTCTGTATTAGCTGACACCTGCATCATCTTCAAGGTCAGTCCTATGTAAAGCACAGTATGATAGTTCTCAAGGTTCAGGATACAAGGTCAAAACATGGAAAGATTTCTTGCCCCTGGGAAGGAGTGGCCTTCATATGGCTGTGTAGTATGACTGTTTTTCTGTTGTCCAAGGCAGGTTCTAGTAGTACTCCTCAATTCTTAACTGGAGCAGATGTGAGTTTATTGACTCATCTGTCAAAGGCAAGATGACCTGTTCTATATAGTGCTAGGTCTATAACTGCTAAGTCCTTTGCAGTTTTCAAGGCAAGGTGTTTCGGAAGTGGTTTGCCAGAGCCTCCTTCCT